TGAGTTTTTTTAAAATGCTTCTAGGTGCTTTCAAACTATTACTGAACATTCTCTTAAACTCGGTAAATAATGCAATGATGCCCAATGATGAGCTTGAGAACATCAGAGATGAGGCTCCTTGAATGGGGTAAGGAATAACCAACACTTTTTTTTATGTCCATCAACCAAGGCTTTTAAAACCGGACCGGACCGGCCGGTTCAACCGGTTGAACCGCGAACCGGCTGGCCGGCCGGTTACGGTTTGCTTGAGAACCGTTTTCGCCTCGACGGAAAACCGGCTCCGGTTTCGGATAACTGGACGGTTCGAGCAATTTTTTCTCTAAGCCGTTGGATTTGATCCTACGGTTAATATGAGATAAAGCTGATACAAAACAAAAAACCCTACTATTCACATATTCGCTATTTCGTTCGTTCGGACGTTTTCGCCTCGTTCGCCGTTCATTTCTTTTACCGACCAGGGATTCTCTTCTCCAACCCACTGTAAGTTCTTCACTCGCTTCTCCTTCTCCTTGCATTCGGTAGTAGGCCGACGACCGCCGACCTGTTTTCCCTTTCCATCTATTTTAAATTTTAAGCATACTGCTTAGGGTTTTGTGGGAACTGGGATTAATGGAATATACAACAAAATGTGAAACAATTTTGCACTTTTAATTTTCAAAATCACTTTTTAAAACTTTTTTCCAATGTCGTTCATCCACCGACGTTCATCCAATACCATTCACGGTTCATCCACGATTTTGGTTGCCAGTGGAGATCATGAAAGCTTTTAACTATCTCTGTTGCAATTTTGTCCAATGCCATTCATCCACCGACGTTCATCCAATGCCGTTCACGGTTCATCCACGATTTTAGTTGCCAGTGGAGATTGTGAAAGCTTTTAACTATCTCTGTTGCAATGGATTATGGATCTTAATTTTTTTTATAATATATACAAGTTTTCTTTATATTTTTTTTTATAATTTTTTTACCGATGTCATGATAGAGCAATGACATAAAGATTGAATTGAATAACTTTTGCCAGTTATTATAATCAACTTTGTTTAGGCATTTTGGAAGAAATCCATAATATAGGGAGAACTTACAAGTTACGACAGGTTTTTTTTGTGTTGTGTTGATCTTATGTTATATAGAAGACTAAGCTGCTTAAGTTGATGTCATTAAGTAATAACTAATAAGGATGTTTTCCGAGTAAGAGTTACCTTATTGATGATTTTTATACCAAAATAGTGGCAAGTGGCAACTATTAAGTTTGATTATGATTGACATAAATTTACAATCACATTTGTGTTGCACTACTGGTTATAATTAAGTTACCGCGATAACTTGTCTTTTAGAGCTTGTGCTGGAGGAATTATGAAATAAAAGTTGGCTTACATATGCTTATATTGTTGAGATTCATGTAGCCCAGTTTTATTATCATAATGATTGAGTTTTTCTTTAATGATTGGATACTTTTGTCTTTCTTAGTATTATAGTTAAAATGCATATTCAATTTGAAATCATCTTAAATATATTCCAGGTTCTGAACGTGCTTTCTTTGACGTGATATAAAATTGCTACTACGACGAATTGAGGTATGCATTATTTTCTACCTTGCATAGTTTTCAACTTTATTATTATTTTTACTTTATAGTTTTTTACTTTGTAGTTTTCTACTTTATAGTTTTCTACGTTGCATGGTTTTTATTTATTTGTATGTGATTTTATTTAATAAATCAAATTAGAATGGAAGCACCTAGTAATCAGACTTCAGGATCAACTTATACTGTGCATGAGAAAATGGATATTGCTTGGAACCATTTTGCTGAAGTTAAAGGATCTGATGGGAAGAAACAATTTAAATGTCTACATTGTGGTATTTCATACAAGGGATGAGGAATTAATAGAATGAAACAACATTTAGCAGGTGTAAAGGGGAATATAGCTGCTTGCAAGAAGGTTCCACATGATGTTAGATATCAAATGAATGAAAACTTGAAGGAAATTTTAAGAAAAAAATAACAAGCACAGGAAGAATTGGACAGTACACCATTTTCTGTGGATGATGCTATAGATGAAGAGAGAGATTCTTGCTCGCTACCAAAAACACAATCTTCGCAAGCACATGTTTCAGAACTTAGCAAAGGAAAAAGAAAAGCTTCTGATATAGATACCTTCTATGCTCCTAGAACTACAGGAGGTTCCTAACCTTCAATTAAGAGTGCTTTAGCATCTAAAGAAGTAGTGCACCGTGCAGATATGACATTAGCAAGGTGGTTTTTTGATTATTGTATTCCTTTTAATGCTCTTACTTCAGTATATGCACAGAAAGTTGTTGATGCTATTGCTGCAATAGGTCCTGGTTATAAGCTCCCCAGTTATCATAACATGAGAGTCAACTTACTTAGGGATTGCAAGGAAGAATGCAGACTACTCATTGATAGTTATAGACAAACTTGGAAGGTAACAGG